ACAATAGTTCAGTCATGCCTTGCTTAACGCAGACTCAAAACCAGGCAGCTTGTCATGGTCATCAGTCAAGGGGATGGACATGTTGCTGTACTGCAGTATGGTATGTCAATCTCACACCTATAGCATGCGCCAGCACTAGCCTAGCAAACACATTGTACGTGTTTCAACCAAATAGCCATGTCTCAAAGTCCGAGTCAAGTAAAGGAGGTCTGTAGTTAGTCATTGAGTCCCAGTGCAGGAAGTCGGAGGCAGACTCCAACCTCACTCCTGGAGTTGGGATGTAGTCAGTTACTGCTTGGATGTAGTCAGTTACTGTAGTCCATATCACTACAGCCCATACAATGAGCTTGATCAGTCCTGCAGGTCCAAACAGTCAGGGGGCTTGTGATAAGTCAGTTTGGGAGCTAGACACAAATTAGTCAGGAGTCTGGTCAGTCATTGGTCAGACCTATCTGTCCAAATTGTTCAGTGAGATGGACCTTGGTCAGGCATGGGCTTAACTCAATGAAAGTCAAATGTATTGTCAGGCAACATATTGTGTTAGGGAAGTTCAGGGAAATCAGTGCTGGAGATTGGAAGCAACAATTTGGGAAGCATGGTGAAGGGGAAAATTTTAATATACAAGATGGGAGAGATGACAAAAATAGAAATTGCTGGAAAACCTCAGCAGGTCTGGCAGCATCTGTGCAGAGAAATCAGAGTTAATATTTTGGGTTGAGATACCCTTCCTCAGAACACTGGAGATAACAGTGCATTGGAGGATATGGATACTAAAAGGATGGGGGGGGATGGTGGTGCTATCAATAGCCACCACCACTGTAGCCTTGATGGCGGTAGAGGGTACATTGCAGCACAATGGTTGGCATGACTAAACTGTAAAGGTGGGGCTCAGGGGGTAATGATGAGAGCTGAAGATGTAAATCCAGGTGGTTTGTGGGAAAAGCAGAGAATAAGTACTGATGGGTTTGCCAAGGACTACAAGAAGGAAGACAAATGGAGGTGCAGTGGAGGGCCCTTAATTTCCAAGCTGAGCCCAAAGACTCACTGTGCCAACCATGGTCAGCATTTCCTACTATATTTATTTGAAGCATGAACATGTAAATGCAAATAAAAAGTGGCTGCAATCACATTCAGTGTGGACAAAGTCAGAATTATTTTCTGCCTGAGCACACAAGTTCTGCTAGTGAGAGTGATGGAAGGCCCTTTAAAACACAATTGCATTCATCAGACACTTTCACAGAATGGGTTGAAGTTATCTACCATCACAGCATCATTCATGTGAAATGGATGCAGTTTCCAACTTCTTGGACCTCAAATGCTGGTCACAAGTAATCTTGACCATGTCATCGGTCATTGCAGACCAAAGATAGTCATCTCTGTGAGGCAGAAGTAATCATAGGCAACTTTAAAAGTGGCACCCATGGGCCACAATTCACAAAGATACTGCAAGGCCTCATAGGCTGCACAGGGACACCAAACTGATTCCCTCTCACTCTGAACTATAAGTATTCACAAACATTCTGTTACATGATGCAATGATGGATTTCTTGGGTGACGTGGGGCTGAGAGGTGGTGGTGTTTGAACTCATACAGTGCTTACAATCCCTTATTGTCTTCTTGCAACATGACTGGTGCTGCAACAGAATAAGATTCAATGCTGAAATACCATTTAGAGGCATTCCATATCCCTCCTTGTCAGAGTTCTCCACGTCCCACTGTGGAGCAGTCTGGTAAACCACCTTTTGTGAGCGATGTGAATGCTGACTGCTCAAATTACTCAGGACTTGTTCTGTTTCTTCTGCTCCCCTCGCAGAGACATTGTAAATGTGACGAATAGATGCAACCACAGCTGGGCCCATTGGCATTGTTCCTATGATGCAACGAAGGCAGAGAGGAATGGAGGAGGACCTGAAGTATCAACAACTACAGGAGCAGCAGAAAACTCCAGCGGATGCTGAGCAGCCTCCACGTGAAGAGATCACAGCTTGAACCCCCCATCAGGATGTGCAGGGGTAGAAGAGAGGCAGACTTTTGAACTTGACGCCAATCCCTTCAGAAAAGCAAGGTGCAAATGTCACCAGAGACTGAGGATGTTCTGGGACAGAGTCCCAAAGCTAGAGCTGAAGCAGGAACTGTGGCACAAAGGGGTGGGTGACCATCCTATCCCAGTGGCCATCATGACGGCAGCTGTGATAAACATTTCTGTAACAGGTTTCTTGCAGAGAGCTACTGGATTTGTGGGAGCGGCCTCTCAATCATCCACCCACAAACACAGCTTTTTGTCATTCATATGAATGATTTGGATGTGAATACAGGAGGTATGGTAGACTTTGGCACGCTGGGATAGAGGCAGCAGTCTTGCAAGGAGAAAGCTGAGGACATTGAGCAGGAAGATCATCACCTTCCGCATGAAAGAACGCAGCAGCATCAGATGCAACAATCAGAGTTAATGGACATCTGGTTCCGATGAGAGCCGTGATCCTATATTGAATAGATTTGTTGCACTTGAAAGGCCAGCAGTCCATTTCTGTTCTGAGAAGCATCTTCTATTTGTATGTTTATTGTTCAGTTCTGCTGTTGCTGAATAAAAGTGAATGTTTTGAATTGTTTGAAGGCTTTACCGTATAGGATGGTCCCACATTGAACAATGTTAAGAATTTCTAACTGTGTGATTGAATTGGTAACTGTGCAGTTGTGTAAGGTGGGTGAGTTAAATGTGTAGGGTGCAGGTTCAGTAAAGTGGTAGGTTGGTACATTGGCAGGGGCAGTTGGGTTATATGTGACAGCTGGGTAGGTGTCAGGATGGTAGGATGCCAGCTGGGTAGGGTGGTTAAGTGGGTTCAGTCAATATCAAGGATCTCAGATGTACATGGATAGATTTGCAATCTGTCACTAGCGCATAAAACCTGTATTGGGGATCACAAATATGTTTTAGAATTCACCCTATTTTCAATGCTTTAGATTGCAATGAAAATCACATGTTTCATTGGGTTTTCATCTAAACTGCCCAGGTTGCAGACTGAAAATCATTGCCATTTTTTCATAGATTCCAGATTAATTTGGCAAATCTCAATAAAATATGCATTTAATTCCCTTCCCTAACTATTGTCCATAGACCATACCAGTAGCAGAAAGTAATTGTTCCACAGAATGGACTCTCTAGGTGGCCCAAACAGGAGGCTGGAAGAACACAGCACGCTAGGCAGCATCTGGAAGAAAGGAGCAATCAACGTTTTGGGTATTACTGTTCTTCAGTATTACCCTGAAAAAGGGTAATACCCAAAACGTTGACTGCTCCTTTCCTCCAGATGTTGCCTGGCTTGCTGTGTTCTTCCAGCCTCCTGCTTGTCTATCTTGAATTCCAGCATCTGTAGTTTTTTTGTCTCTAAAGGACTGAATCGACCTCCAGCTGAAGTTCATAACAAAGCAATAATCTGTTATTTTGATTTTAAACAAAATATTGCAATATTCTACGTAATAAAGCAAATAATAAAATGGGACTACATTAATTTAGGATATCTGGTTGGCATGGACAAGTTGGACCAAACAGCCTGATTCTGTGCTGAAAATCTCTATGTTAGCTGCTCTGTCTACAGAAGGGACAGCAAAAAATATTATCCAGGAATAACTTGCTAACTCTGTACATTTATCCTGGTCTATGACTCATTAGGATGGTGAAACAGCAAGGTGCAATTTACTTGATTTAGTGCAAGCAGTAATTGCCATCCACTTAGCATCCATTTCTGAGTGTTGCCATCAAGAATAAGTGGGGGGAGGTTAAAAAGTATCTTGCAGAGTTGTCAAAAGGGATGTGTCAATTCTTTTCATGGACGCTATTGTTTGACGCGATTCCACTTTGAGAATTAATTTTGCTACTTCAAATTGTTTGACTTCACAGACCTTTCCGCTCCATTTCCAAAAAACATTTTCCAGAAATACTTTCTTCAAAAGACAGTTTTAGGTTGTCTCTATACACTTTGAGTTGAACAGCAGCTGCCTCCTATCACTGTGCAATGTGATAGTATTGGATTATTCATTATCTGAATGGCATGTAAAATGGTGATTTGTTTCATTTGCATAAGCTTCCAAAGAAAATTTCAATTTATTGTATTATACAAGAGTGTGGTAAAAGAAAATAAGTCACTGTTGTTCTTCAGGCAATTTTATGGTAATGAAATTGATCTGATTCAGGTTATGTTAGACCACACACATCCTCCTATGCTTTCCCTGCCTAGACAGCTTAATGTTCAGGGTTAGCATTTCTCGTAATCAACTGGCACGTTATTGCGGCTCAGCACTTCCCTTTTCATGGAATGTTTTTTACACACTTCATGAAACCCTTGCCTAGTAGATCCTTTCTGACTGATATCTTCTTCAAGCCAATATCTCCACAAGACTTAGTTATGGCCTACTAAATTAATAGTTTATTCAAGCTGTCTCTCACTCATTATTATACAGTTACCATCATTTTTAAAAAAATGTTAGATGGGTAATTTTGGTAACAGGAATCGTGCTTTTGTTCCAAAGTACCTCTTTCAATTTTTGACTGATTGCTACTGCTTCATCTGACCAAACAAGCTACATGACTTGATAACCTACTTGGGGGAGGGGGGTTAACTGATGAACTGTTTACAAAGTTGAACATTTATAACACGCAGAAAGACAGACCAGGTCAACAGTCACATTTTAGTTGAAAGTCATACCTGTAGAATGGCAATTTAGTTTGTGGCAGTCCAGGCTTTCAGAGCTGGAAAGAAGCCTTGAAACTGTTTTAGCACTTTAAGCAAGCAAGTTGCTTCTTAAAATTCAGTTATCATGTTGTGCTGAGCAATGTTTAGAATAAATCAATACTTTCATTTCAAATACTAAATGCCATATTCACGTGGAATGAACATTATATGTTGGAACAAATTTTTTTAATCAATGTTTTAATTTTCTGACAAGTAACGTATTTTTGGAATTAACAGTCATATATCACAGTTTTAAGTACTAATACTTACTGTAATTGTAGACTTTCCAGCATATTTTCCATATCTTAAGAACAAAGGTTTTGTCATTTTCTTCTGAGCCACAATCTGTAAAGTATGAAATCACATCACACAAAACTCCATGAAAGGTCTATTTTGAGCACCCATAACCGATGGGACAAATTATATCCTTATGGTTATTTTAAACTATGGCTTGAAAGAATAACAATTGATCTAGTAAACTTTAAGTAACTCCCTTTAGTTACTATGTATTAAGATTAATTACACTTGAAACAATCAAGATGTACAATAGGGTTTCCAGAATGTAAAAGTTGTATAAGGTTTCAGTCCCCCAGCAATGTCACTGACAATGCAGATAAAATTTGTGAACCCATGGCACAGCTATCTCTGAGTGATTTCATGCCACTCACATGTTGTTACATTTAGTCAAACAATTGGAATAGCCATGATCAGAATTTGCATTTTAACAAGGGGGAAAGGTGATCTGAGCTTGTGTGCAACAAACTGATCTTGTGTGACCTTTGTCTATGCTTCCAGACGTTGGGTAACTTCTGCTTGTGCTGTAATTGCAGCTGAGACATTGACCATCAGTCATGGCATTACTGGGTCTGAAAGGGAGCTAATGGAGTTAGCCAACACTTCCTGACTGGATGAGCGAATTCCAAATTTTATGAAAAGTCCAGTGCCAAGTTGGTGCAGGCCTCCTACATATTCCTTAGAAATGACAACAGACTTTCCAACAGTCCTGTCTGCGCATAACATTTCATTGTGCATATGCATCAGCCTTCATCTGCAATCTTACATACTCTTTTAAGTCCTTTGCAGCAGAACTTGTTTGCATCCTGATCTTCCAGTGAGCTCACTTACATACCACCCTTGTCCCCTGCCATTGTTGCAGGTCACTCATGCCCAGTATCTCACCAGATCCAAACCCTACTTCTACAAATGAAAGCTCCTATAGATGGAAAACCAAGAAACAATGTTCTGACCAGTACAAGAATCTCAGCAACCTAGTGAATAGGAAACACTGAACTACCTTTCCAGTCTTTCTCTCCATCCATAACATCAATGTGTTTTTTTCCTGTCCATGTTCATTTGTGTATGTGTACACAGGTGTGTAAGGGTAGCTTTATAAGGGGATTTCAGTTTTAACTACTAGAATTACATGCTGACATTCCTAACTGTTTAACTGTTAACTAGAGTTCAAGTACTTTTAATAAATAGTATTATTTACTAACTACCAAAACCTGTGGCAATTACTTGCAGCAACTACTGCAGCCAGAATGCTCCTTCCCTTGAAGAGAACATTGCACCATGTGTCCATAGCTATGCAAATGCATCAGAACATCCTCTTTAGAAAGTTCCTAGAACTTGGTGCAAAGCCCTGTGCCAAGTTAGTGCAGGACTCTTGCATACTCCTCGACAGTGGGAACAAACTTTATGACAGCAATGCATACTTCCTCATTCTGCATATCCATTGGTCTTCACCTTTGTCATCCCCATGAGTTTCCTCATCTGAGTATTTCTGCAGCAGAACATGTACATAAGGGAGATGGAATATAAAAGTAGGGAAATCTCCTACAATTATGCTGGGCATTGGTGAGAAATACTTGGAATATTGTGTACTGTTCCGGTTGTCTTACTTGAGAAAGGATACACTTACATTGGAAGTAGTTCAGAAAAGGTTCACTAGGCTGAGTTCCTGGGATATAAGGTTGTATAAGGATGAAAGGGTCAGCTGGTTGCACCTATATCCATTGGCATTTAAAAGAGCGAAAGGTCATCTTACTGGAACATTTAAGATTCTGAGAGATTGGACAAGATAAATCCTTTTCTGAGGAAATCTAGACGTAGGGGATGCAGTTTAAAACTGAAGGGTCTCCCATTTAAAACAGAGGAGGAGAGGTTTCATCTGTCAGAGCATTTTAGTCTTGGGAATTCTCATTCCAGACAGCAGTGGAGGCTGGATCACCAAATATATTCAAGGCAGTGAGATTGTTGATTGGCAAGGGAATTAATGGTTATGAGAATCAGGCAGGAAAGTGGAGTTAAGGCCACAATCAGCCAGGAGCTTCTTGAATGATGGAGCAAGGCAGTATTCTCCTCATTGGCCTCTTCAGTTCTTTGGACTGAGGGACCATCTACAGAGCAGGGTCCTGTGCCAGAAGATGTTACTAGAATGATCCCAATGAATTTGCTTTTGGAAGTGTCTTGCTGACAGGTGAAGGTGACAGCACCTCAATCGTAAGCTTCTTTTGGTTAGAAAATCACTTGTTAGTGCTTAAAAAGAAATCTTTTTTCCCAAACAGTATGGCACTATAGCTAAACTGATGTATTCTTTTATCATTGATGTTAGTCTTAACCCTGTAGGAAACACTTTAGCTGCGGATTTTGCTTTTGAACCCATAAAAAGTCCTTTTAACTGGTGCACTTTAACTACTCTTTTGGGAAGCACAATGAAACATGTTTTTGTTTGTTTGTCTGTAAAGAGATAGAGGACTTCTAGCTTGATAGGTCCTGAACTTTAAGTAGAAGAGAAGCTAAATCTGCCCTCTAGCTATTTAAGTGGAAGATCTAAACTTGCGTAAATTTATTGTGGTTGGTCATCCCTATGATTAATGATCCAGGGCTGTCTAAACTTCAATGAGGATTCTTTTATAAGCAGTTATTAGTGCTGACTGCTGTGCTCTCAAAGCAACGTGATATGGTGAAACACACTTATGAGTTGCAACCATGTCATTCTTATGTTAGCTCCCATAACACGAATGAGACATGGGACATGTAGCAATGAAAATTTCAATGAAGTTTTATTACAGCTCCTGGTGTTTACATAATGTATATTACAATCACAGGCACTTGCCTGCCTGGGCTCCAGTTAAGCAATTTAGCTGTACTGCTACATGCTTCCCTCAGCATGTTATGCTGCAAGAGGTCATAGTTCAGTAAGATGGAGGCTGAGACCTCTATATGAGTAGGTCACATGCCATAATATAGTGATGGTATCATGAGCATCTCCCTCAAAGATATATTTCACATATGCTGTGAGACATTACACAACAGGAAGGTCAGTCACACAATCTGAAACATTTTATTAACCACATGCACCATGAATTGCTTAATGGAACAAAGGGAAACCCTTGCATCAAATGAAGAATTACATTTGCGCAAATGACCTTACATCTTATGAGAAGATGATATAGGTTCAATTAAAGAGATGGTCTTATATTTACTAATATTATTCAATTTCCACCAAACCAATCCATAGGGGATGATGTTAGCTTAACCCATCTAGAAGGAAAGGATCAGATCAGTTCAGTATCCATTTTAAACCCCACAGACTTATATGCTCCACCAACTTCTGTACAAAGTAGAACAGACATTATAAACCAGATTAGTTTCTCTTGAGGCAGGTTAAATTGAATGAAAAACCCTGGCTAAAGAAAACAAATATAACAATATACAACCACAGTAAAATGAATAGCATTTCATATTGTTCAAGTAATATTATTCGATTAGAAATAAGTATACCTTTAATTCCTACTGTTCTATATTTCAAAGAATGCATTATGTACCACCACAGAAACATTATACTTCATTTCATAAAAGATTCTTTTTAAAGTAGCTCTGTATGAAATCTTGATGATCGGCACTTAAATTTGCTAAGTTCAGCTGGAAACATTCTGTCTAGGGCAACAGATTTTGAAAAATATCTTCTTTACATTTCTTCATCTATATTTGAAGTTCAAGTCTGCAAGCAGCTGTATCAAGCATCAAAGATCTTTATTAAATAACTCTCTTTGCGAGTTCATTGATAACCAGAGGCCAGAAGGAACTCTGGATTCTTGATTTTGTGCCAGACATCACTTCAGAGACTGGTTTAAATAAAATATTATTACATACAGTCAAAAATGCTGAGGTATTTTAGTTATCCTGGAACATGTACTGTATACTTAAGCAATATTTTTAAACATTGTGCTTTCTTTGTTCATATTAATTTTAACTAATAAAATAATTAGGTCAATACATTGAAGTCGCACAAAAAGGAATATTACATGCACATTAAGTGGTGCATTACCAAAAAAAAGTAAAACTTTTACATTTTTAGATAATAATTTCTGGATAAAAATATTTCAACAGTAATTTTTAGCTAATGCTGACACAGCTCACTGGCATAGCAAAAGTGCAGATCTCAATTGATTTCATTTAAAGGCATGCGAAGCATTAAGTGTAGACTCAATTTGTGTCTCTTTCATTGGTAGCTGAGTGCATGTGCCCCTTTGTTTTGGCAGCAGATTGTAATAAATAAGTATCAACAAGCTCTTAGATGTCTTTTTATTTAGTAAACACATTAATATTAAACTTTGTAACTCTTCAATACTGGAGTTACCAGATATCTTCAAAGCCTTGACTGATCCATTTTCTCCTCACTGCATTTGTTAATTTAATATGATGGGGAAAAGAGAGAATTTAAATATCAATTAGCCTTGCAAATATTAGAATTGCGAAGGAAATTTTGTTTCTTCTAGTACTTGCCTGTCCTAGGGTGCACTCCATACCACCCAGAAAGTCGTCATCACGAGTACCAATACTGCAGTGGCCATGAATATCATATACTTCAAACCGAAGCTTCTGAACCTCCTCAAAATAATAATCCACATTGAAAACTTTGGAGAAGACTGGATGCAGGTTACTTTTTATAACTTCAGTCCGGTCAACCTGCAAAGGAGAACAATTTTACAGGATTATTATGGTCTTATTGATGATTGTTTGGAATATCAGATGTGGCAAGTCCCAATGTTTACCTTACGTTGGATAACCGGATTTTGTTTTTAGAATATAAGGCAGCTAAATAATTCTAGACATTTTTGTTCAGAACTGCACAGAGTAGGACATGGCTCCAATGTGGTGGACAAACAGAACAGCTCTAATATTTCAAGCAATAAAATGCTAACCTGCTACTCAAAAATGATCAACAGTTCCCAGAGCTGTTACAGTTTACTGCCTGCAACTTGAAAAGGATCTTAATAGAATCATCAGATCAAGAATGAGGTGATCTGTATTTGAATTTCTGAGACTCTAACAAATGGAGCAAGAGTCAAGAATAATAGCTGGGAAGGGACAATGTTAAGCAGAGCTAAGCAAATGAATGAAGGGTCAATTTTAATCAGTCAAATCTACTCACTTCTGTCCTGTTCAGAGCCAATGAGCTTAGAATCATCAAAGACTGGATTTTCTTCTGAAGCTTTTGGTTTAATTAATCATGAGTTATTTTGCAAAACAAAACTATACAACCCTATAATGCAATAAAGATCTTTTTGTTTTTTTAATTTTAATCAAAAGTGGAGAATTTAGGTTTCGGAGTTAGAACACATGGTTTCACTCTCTGAATTGCTGTCAATTGGATAAATGCTTGAACATATTAAGACAATGTATTAAAGCTCAGAATTACCTACAAACGTACTGAATTTTTAAGATAGACAATTTATGATAACAAGGTGTAGAGCTGGATGAACACAGCAGGCCAAGCAGCATCAGAGGAGCAGGAAAGCTGACGTTTCGAGCCTAGACCCTTCTTCAAAAATGGGGGAGGGGAAGGGGATTCTGAAATAAATAGGGAGAGAGGGGGAGGCGGATAGAAGATGGATAGAGGAGAAGATAGGTGGAGAGGAGACAGACAGGTCAAAGAGGCGGGGTTGGAGCCAGTAAAGGTGAGTGTAGGTGGGGAGTTAGGGAGGGGATAGGTCAGTCTGGGGAGGATGGACAGGTCAAGGGGATGGGATGAGGCTAGTAGGTAGGAGATGGGGGTGGGGCTTGAGGTGGGAGGAAGGACAGGTTAGGGAGGCGGGGACAAGCTGGGCTGGTTTTGGGATGCGGTAGGGGGAGGGGAGATTTTGAAGCTTGTGAAGTCCACGTTGATACCATTGGGCTGCAGGGTTCCCAAGCGGAACATGAGGTGCTGTTCCTGTAACCTTCGGGTGGCATCGTTGTGGCACTGCTGGAGGCCCAGGATGGACATATCGTCTGAGGAATGGGAGGGGGTGTTGAAATGGTTCACGACTGGGAGGTGCAGTTGTTTAGTGTGAACTGAGCATAGGTGTTCCACAAAGCGGTCCCCAAGCCTCCGCTTGGTTTCCCCGATGTAGAGGAGGCCACAACGGGAACAGCGGATGCAGTATACCACATTAGCAGATGTACAGGTGAACATCTGCTTGATGTGGAAAGTCTTCTTGGGGCCTGGGATGGGGGTGAAGGGGGAGGTGTAGGGGCAGGTGTAGCACTTCCTGCGGTTGCAGGGAAAAGTGCCGGGTGTGGTGGGGCTGGAGGGGAGTGTGGAGCAGACAAGGGAGTCACGGAGAGAGTGGTCCCTCTGGAAAGCAGATAAGGGTGGGGAGGGAAAAATGTCTTTGGTGGTAGGGTCGGATTGCAGATGGCGGAAGTGTCGGAGGATGATGCATTGGATCCGGAGGTTGGTGGGGTGGTACGTGAGGATGAGGGGTTTCTGTTTTGGTTGTTATTGCGGGGAGGGGGTGTGAGGGATGAGTTGTGGGAAATGCGGGAGACACGGTCGAGGGCGTTCTCAAACACTGAGGGGAGGAAGTTGCCGTCCTTGAAAAACAGGGACATCTGAGACATTCGGGAATGGAATGCCTCATCCTGGGAGCAGATGTGGCGGAGGCGAAGGAATTGGGAATAGGGGATGGCATTTTTGCAGGAAGGTGGGTGGGAGGAGGTGTATTCTAGGTAGCTGTGGGAGTTGGTGGGCTTGAAATGGATATCGGTTTCCAGGTGGTTGCCAGAAATGGAAACAGAGAGGTCCAGGAAGGAGAGAGAGGTATCAGAGATGGTCCAGGTGAACTTAAGGTTGGGGTGGAAGGTGTTGGTGAAGTGGATGAACTGTTCGAGGTCCTCGTGGGAGCCCGAGGCAGCGCTGATATAATCATCAATGTAACGGAGGAAGAGGTGGGGTTTAGGGCCAGTGTAGCTATGGAAGTGGGACTGTTCCATGTAACCTACGAAGAGGCAGGCATAACTTGGGCCCATGCGGGTACCAATGGCCACCCCCTTTGTCTGTAGGAAGTGGGAGGAATTGAAAGAGAAGTTGTTGAGGGTGAGGATGAGTTCGGCTAAGCGAATGAGGGTGTCGGTGGAGGGGGACTTGTCGGGCCTGTGGGACAGGAAGAAGCGGAGGGTCTTTAGGCCATCTGCATGGGGAATGCAGGTGTATGGGGACTGGATGTCCATGGTAAAGATGAGGTGTTGGGGACCGGGGAATTGGAAGTTCTGGAGGAGGTGGGGGGCATGGGTGGTGTCACGGACGTAGGTAGGGAGTTCCTGGACCAAGGGGGAGAAAATGGAGTCCAGATAGGTGGAGATAGGTTCGGTGGGGCAGGAGCAGGCGGAGACAATGGGTCGACCAGGGCAGTCAGGTTTGTGATTTTGGGAAGGAGATAGAAGCGGGCAGTGCAGGGTTGGGGAACGATGAGATTGGAGGCTGCGGGGGGGAGGTCACCTGAGGTGATGAGGTTGTGGATCGTTTGGGAGATGATGCTTTGGTGGTCGGGGGTGGGATCATGATCCCGGGAGCGGTAGGAGGTGGTGTCGGAGAGTTGGCGTCTGGCCTCGGCGATGTAGAGGTCAGTGCGCCATACTATAACTGTGCCTTCCTTGTCCACGGGTTTTCTGGTGAGGTTGGGATTGGAGTGGAGGACTGCACGTTCTGCGGGGGAGAGGTTCGAGTGGGTGAGAGGGGTAGAGAAGTTGAGGCTATTGATGTCACGACAGCAGTTGGAGATGAAGAGGTCAAGGGAGGGTAGGAGGCCTTGGGGTGGTGTCCAGGAGGATGGGGTGTGTTGGAGGCGGGAGAAGGGGTCAGTAGGGGGAGGGTTAGGCTCACGGTTAAGAAAGCTGACATTTCAGGTCTGGACCCTTCTTCACAAATGGCATTCAGTTTTCAGAATTCAGTTACTGTCTGTGAAATTCCTTTGTGGATTACACCCAGCCTCAAGAGAGAGCCTGGAATATCACATCTAGAAGGGTGTCAAAGAATTTCAAAGAACCACTTCAAGGGAAAAGAAAAAAAAATACAAGAATCAGCATCATCTCTTGTGGTGTAAATCCCCATGTGGTAGACATAATGTAATGCAATGGACATAATCATAGAAAACAATCTGGGCGAAAGGCATGTCTGACTTCTTGCCTGCAAGGCATACACAAGAAAAAGACTTTAAAAACCAACTGTACTTTAGTGTTAGTATAGTAGTCTATTGTTCTAGTTCTACTGAGCTAGCGTGTGCTGCAAAGGTTACAGCTGAGAACATCGATTGCGTGCAGGTACAAAGGAAAATGTTGGAGATTCTTCCTCCCTCAGATTACTGAAAGCAAGTTGTCAAAAGCCACAGGTGAACAGGAAACTAGACAATTCCTTTCTGCTAGTCTATAGAACCAAAAATCTCTGAACCAACTGTTCAACTACCAGAGTCAGTCTACCAAAACCCCCCAACTTGATGCCTGCAATGTTTCACTATGTACTCCATTGACAAACCAAAGACTGATCTGTACACCTTTTTAACTATTATCTTTTTTCTCACTTCTAATCTGTATATATGTTTGTTGCATTTTATTTTCCCCCAATAGACTCAATCTTGCTTGAGAAAGTCTGGTTAAATTGGATTTGTTTAAAACAAAAATGCATTGGAATCAGGAAAGGTATTGTCAAGGGCAGGGAACCTTTGTTTGAAGTTAATATTATTGGAATTACAGGGGAGGAGAAGGAGAACTGGTTTCTCCCTCCTCGCCCTGAATCATAAGGAACTGGGGACCCTCACACAAAGGCAGGTTGGAGCAAAGGAAATTTACAGGGCTATCAAAAATCAACAGGGACATGGGACTAATTGATAGATTTACTGAGGAGCTGTATCATTCTATGATCCTAAGATTCTGGGAATTACTGGATAGAATCAGAAGTAAAAACTATCAGTTGGATTTTGTCATTAAGAGTCAAGTCTCTATATTGAGTCAAAAGTGCCAGTAGTCAAGGTAGTATTTTGCTGGTGTTGGCCAATTAACAGGAGAATCTAATGGAGGACAGTGGTCCACACCCATTGGTGCAACATGAAGGAGAAGGGCCATTGAGGGCTGATGTTTCTTGGGCGAGACTGGAGTCAGGCAAGTATGCTGCAGCATTTCAGGTCAGGGTGATCCCAGCAGCAGTGCTTTCTGCAGTGGGTAGACATTGCACCAGGAGATCCGCCAATATGGACCGAAAGGGCCCGGCACGCATCCCTGTAGTTTTTTGGAAGGCTACCAGTACTACCTGGCAGTCTCCCCACACAGTGATTACCCCTCCTGATGTTGGTAAAATATCAGCAGGGGTAGCCCTAAATTAAGCAAGTAATTGCTTCAATTAGCCAGCCAATGGGCAGCCTTGCTGCCAAGGTTCGCACCTCTGGCAATGTGCCATCAAGGTGGGCAAACATTGGGCTCCCCTCCCAATGTCTACCTCTGCCATCTCGTCTGCCCTCCTGCCTGCCTTCAAGGGACTGGGAAAATTCAGTTGCTCCTTCTCCACACTAACACAAGTGTGGGAAGGCAAACTATAAGACAAATATTACTACTTCAACTGAGTTCAACTAATTCAGCAAGTGACGATTCAAACCTGGGGACTTGCTGGTATATGCTTCAGACACTCTGTGCAAACCTACTGAATTACAACTGCA